CACCTCCTGCCTGTCCAGCCCCCAGTTCTGCCTGGGAGTGGCTGACATTCCTGTCACTGCCCACTCTGCCATTTCCCTTGGGCACAGGTGGAGCACATTCCTCATCTTCTGTCCTGCTTCCTCAACCTCTGTGACCTCTAGAGATCCCAGGGCCCTTTTTTAGCCATAATTTTAGCCCCAGAAAGGTTGGTGAGGAGGAGAGTTCAAGAGCACGAGCCTGGGAGGGCCTGGCACTGCTTGCCGGGGAGGTGTAGCCAGGTATGTCATGCCATGAGTCACAGTACGTCCCATAATGCCCTAAATAGGCCCACCTAACACCAAAATAGGCTCTGTTTTTAGAAAAGGGATAAAAATACCTCTTTGTCAGAGACAGGGGAGATCCCAGCTCGCAGGTGATCGTGCTCGGTGGTGATGATGAAAGAGGGAGACAGCCAGGAGGAGGGAGTGGGATGGGCTCACTGTGGTGCATCCCAGCTACTCCAAACAAAAAAAACCCCAGTGTTTCATTAGTTATTATTTAAATGGAGGCTCCTGTGGGTGTTTATTTTTAAGCTGTGGTTTGAGATCCCTGCGGTGCAGCCGTGAGTCAGCGGGAGGTGGGTGGAGGAACCTGCATCAGGTGGGAGCCTGCAGTTTGGTGGTCCCAAAGCAGCTGCAAGGGAACAGTTGGGGTGTTCATACCCTGCCTCTGAGAGGCTCTGAAACTCAAAATCAGGAGGAATATCTGTAAGTACAGAAGGTCGTGGGTCCCACGTGGGCGTGGAAGGTGCTCAGACTCACCCTGTGGGCAGCTGGAGCCCAGGGCACGGCTGAGGGGGGAACAGGAGAGACAGGACCCATGGGCAGGGTCACTCTGCTTTATCCTCAGGATGCTCTGGTGGCATCTTCTAACCCATCCTGCTTCGTGTGCCTTCACACACTCAGCCCAGCTCCTTCCAGCTCTCCTGGGGGGTTCCCTCTCCCCCAGCAGTGCTGATCCCACATCCTCCCACTGCAGTAACAGCACTTGCTCATTCCAGTTCTTCCTCCTGCTGCTCCAGGATGGCTTTTCCAACGACTTTATTGCAGTCCAGCTGCTGTCACAGGCCTGTTGGGTCTCACACAGCAGCAGTGTGTATAAACCATGGATATAAAAACAGGATATAAACCATGCTGGAATCACAAAATCACGGGATCACCGACCTTGGCAAAGCCCTCCAGCATCATCGAGTGCCCCCCGTGCCACATCCCCACCCTGTCCCCCAGCCCAGAGCACTGAGTGCCTTCCTGGGACACCTCCAGGGCTGGGCACTCCAAACCTCCCTGGGCAGCCCCTGCCAGGGCCTGACCACCCTTTTGATGACCATCCCTTTCTTGGTGTAAATTACAGGATTTAAAAAAAACCCAAACAAACAAACTGTCTCTTCGACTTGGCTTTCCTGGTGGATTTTCAGAACAGAAATTAGATTGAGACCCCAAAGCACAGTTTAAGTACCTCAGCAATTCATTGAGTTGCTTGTAAAGAGGCAGAGCCAAGTCTCAGTGTGTGAAATTTGGGCCAAGGAGCCAGTGAACCTCCCAGTCCCCATTACCTGACATGTGGGGGCGTGTTCTGAGCATCCAGAGCCAAAACAGCACCCCTGGCACAGGACAAGGAGCGTGTCCTGCAGCCCTGGGCAGGCTCCTTTGGCCTCGTGTTTCTCCCCTCCCT